GTAAGGAGGAGGGTGGGTAGGGGTGGAACATGTAAGGAGGAGGGTGGGTAGGGGTGGAACATGTAAGGAGGAGGGTGGGTAGGGGTGGAAAATGTAAGAAGGAGGGTGGGTAGGGGTGGAACATGTAAGAAGGAGGGTGGGTAGGGGTGTTAGATATAACAATGGTTTGGTTTCAGTGTTATACATAAAGGGAAGACATAGGTGACAGACGTAAGGAGGGGTCAGTTTAGAGTTGAAAATTTAAGCAAGAGGGGTGTCGAGGTGGTATATATAATAATAATAATAATAATAAAGTTCATTTTAAAAACACGCTTCATCCCCAAAGGCTCGAAGCGCGGTGTGAAGTCAACAAAAAACATATCTATAATTTAACACATTTAAAACAAACGCAACACTACAAAAACTAATTACAAGCATACAAGGGCAAAGTCTTTCTAGCCATTTCAACCCTAAGCAACACAGCCATTATGCATTAACTGGAAAATAAGGTAGACAATCATCCCAGAAGGTGTTTGCGAAATAGATGTGTCTTTAATTGGTTTTAAAGACTCCAGTGTCTGGTTGTTTCTGAGATCGACAGGAAGGGCGTTCCAAATTGTTGGACCAGCAAATGCGAAAGTGCGCTTTCCGTAAGTCTCAAGGCAAACACGTGGTGTCGAGAGTTTGCCACTGTCGGATGAGCGGAGCTCTCTAGTGGGTACATAAGGCGTCAGCAGCTCTTTCAGATAGGACGGCGCCAGGTCATGTAAGCAGCGGTAGCACAAAGTTGCGATTTTGTACTCTATGCGAGCACGCACCGGCAGCCACTGCAACTCTCTCAGAAACATAAGGCAATGTGTGTAGTGGTGGTAGATGTAAGTAAATGTGTGTTGGTTAGGTAGATGTGAAGCAATGTGTGTAGGACTAGTAGAAGGAAGGCAATGTGTGTAGGACTAGTAGAAGGAAGGAAATGTGTGTAGGGGTGGTAGATGTAAAGCAGTATGTGTGGCAGAGACCGATAGTATCTGATTTGCTGGTTTGGGTGCGAGACCCAAAGATGTATTACAGATCAAAGATTTAAGTCCAGTGAAGAGAAACAATGAAACAAATACAAATTTAATTTTTTTTAACAATAATGTAATATTTAGTTAGTAATCCCTATTTCGTTGTTAATTACAACATTAAGGAGCATGACAATTTTGGTTCTGCGGCATCTCAGTGCTGCCTTTGATGTCATCGACCATGAGCGTCATCTGTCAAGACTTCTGAATGCGGCAGGCATTACTGGAACTGCTCTTCGCTTTTCTTCTTATCTGACTGACAGGACTCAGCGTATTGTAGTAAAGCAGGCATCTTGAAAGGACACTTCCGTTACCTGTGGCGTGCCACAGGGCTCAGTTTTAGGACCTATTCTGTTCTCCATGTACACTAGCCAGCTCGGCAAAATTTTTGAAAGTCATGGTATTTTCCGCAAAATATTTGCAGATGACACAGAACTATACAAATGTTACCGCCCTAATCCCTTGGAGTGTGCTACTGCTGTTCAGGCTGTCGAGGAATGATGTCTTGCTGTGAAAAATTAGATGTCATCAAACAGTCTAAAATTAAATAATGATAAGATTGAGGCAATAATTTGTGGTTCAGACGCTAATCTTCTTAAAGTTACCATTACATCAATTAAAAGTTGGTGAATCAGAGATCCTGTTGTCCTCCACTGTCAGAGACCTTGTCTTTTATATTGACAGTAAAGTTAGTATGATTCCCCATATCAGTTCTGTTGTCAAGGTATGCTTCTGTCATCTGCGTGCCCTGGGTCAGCTGCGTCCTCAACTCAATAGGAGAACAGCCAATGGTGTAGCAGTAACTCTAATCCAGTCAAGATTAGATTACTGTAACAGTTTTTGTGGGGTTTACGTCAGAACCAAATTCAGGACTCAAAAAGATACAAAATACTGCAGCACGCATTGTATCGCGGATGAAAGAATGTGACCACATCACTCCAGTTCTCCATTGGGTTCCTGTAAGTGAGCGCATTAACTACAAAATTCTGTCCCTGGCGAACAGCTGCATGGATGGCTCAGCACCGGAATATCTCAAGGAACTGATTTCTAAACATGTATCCCTGAAGAGCCTGCGGTTTTCATCACAGTACTTGCCAAGTGTTCCTAGTGTGGATAAACACAGAAAAAAAGTCGCACGGATTGCGCTCTTTTCAAGCGATAGCGCCAAATTATGGAACAGTTTGCTTCAATCATTGAGAGAATTGTAAATGATAAAAAATCATTAAGAAACAATTAAAAACTTTTTTGTTTCAATAGATTTCGGAGGACCAGAGCGCAGTGAGCAGTGAGCAGTGAGCAGTGAGCAGTGAGCAGTGAGCATGTTACAATGGCATGGATACCGGCGCGATATCAATATCAAATCAAAATCAAATGTCAATTCACAAATAAAATAATAATAATAGTAATAAAAATAATAATGTTACAATTTTCTTAGATTTTTGTCACAAAAATATTACATTCGTCAATTACGACATTCATGAACAAGATTATCATGAATCAAAATGAATGCCATGAATGAATGAATTGAATAAACCTAGATTCCAAAATGGTATTTTTTAATAAATAAATACATAATAATAATAGAAATATTACAATCTCTTATTCTTTTCACGAGCACATGACCATTCCCTAAGTCTAATTGTAAAGTTGTTGGTGGAGATATTTGCCTAATAGGTCATCAGGCAGCTGTGAGCAGTGTTCGCAGAGGATTAGTCAAATATCATACAATGACAGCCAAACGACGAGCAATAATGAAGATAGGATAGCCGGCCGACAGAAAGACAATCTGATGGACGACCAAAAGCCAAAAATCACTTTTTGCCGAAACCAAAGATCAATCGAAAGTTAAAAAAGACCTTTTCATAATTCGGAATGACTCTGTACAGTCGCACAGATTCAACCCAATGGGGCCGCAGGTAGGGGATGTAATGATAACTCGGTACAGCCGCATAGATCCAACACTATCAATGTTGTGTTAGACGATACACAATTGGATATCTCTGGTTTAGATCCACTGATACCAGCTGAACACATTGACTGGTTATAGGACAACACATAGAACCAGTAATAGCGAGGGAACAAAATTACTGGTTATAGCAGAAAACAAAGACGTTTAAAAGCAATAATCTTTACAAAAATCATTTCTAGGTAACGCTGATAGCTATGTCTTTTCTCATGATGTTTTCTCATGATGTTTTCTCATGATGTTTTACTTTGCTTCACTTACACCAAGAGTCTTTATCCACCTTGGTGACCGGGGGGGGGGTGTTAATGGGCCCTGGGGGTGGGGCGTTAGTGGTGGGGCGGGTAGAGTGATTGTAATGTCACATAATAAAAGCAATTTTGTTAAAAGTCTTGGTCCCACGTTAAACGAGGGAATTACTTTTGGTTGAAAAGTCCAAGAACGATAATTACGTTATAAGTTGATGTCGAGGGAAAATTTTGACTTAATTCCCCTGTTTTCAAGAATTTGCAAGACAGAAAAGCGGACTGATAAGAGGAAAGAAAAAAAATAATAATATAATTATTAACCTTTTTGGTTGTACATCGCAAAAAAGGAGGATGTTATTACCAGCGTGTCTTCCTTTGATTGGATAAAAAATCATGAAATAACTAACATCATGCCCTTTCTTATCATCCTAAAACGTATGCTATAACTAACATGTCGTCCTTTCTTATCATAAAACGAGTGAAATGTATACAAAATTGACCATTTTTATCATCCTAAAACGTATGAAATAAAAAAAGTTCGTCCTTTCTTATCAAAATATATATGAAATAAAAAAACATATCGGCCTTTCTTATCATCCTAAAACGTATGAAATGACATTTCCTCTCAAACTATGCAAGCACTGACCCACCTCTGGCAGAGAGAGACAGGTTAGACAGAAGCGTCTGGTAGTCGCCTGTGTTGTTCTTGGTCTCGTCGAAGTCCTTGTTGAAGGCCGTCTTGTTGAACTCCCTCATGTAGTCGTGGTAGATGGCCTGCATCGAAAAGTAGCAGTCGCGCCGGGGGGCGCTGGTCACCTTGATGTCGGCGTAGAGCAGGCCAATGTGATCCCAGTGGAACGACTTGAAGATGCTCAGGATGAACTCGCTGACCTTGGCGTGGGTGCCCTTAAAGGGTGAAAGGTCAGACCAGATCAAAGGGCAGTGGTGTCAGTTAAGAGGGTCAAGATCATTTTTTTTTCAGACACAAGAGAAAATTGTTTAATGGCCAGAAAGGAAATACAATCTATTGACTTAACGAGCGATTCTCAACTTCTTGCACTCAATCCCTATTTTAAAATGAAAGTAAGCCCCGTGCACCACCTATTATGTTATATTAATTGAGTCCTTTAATTCAAGTTGAACTAATCTGTTTTCTACATACAGTATTGTAGGTCTTAAATCGGAGTCCAACCGCTTGTAAGTAACGTTATAGTGCACACATTCTTTGTAATGGACAACCCTCTTTTAAGTTAGTAACCTAGTGCACACATGTTTTTGTAATGGACAACCCTCTTGTAAGTTAGTAACCTAGTGCACACATTTTTTGTAATGGACAACCCTCTTATAAGTGAATAATCTAGTGCACATAATCTATGTAATTGATGAATGAAGACTTTGATAGTCTTGACATTGTTTAGAATGGTTTTCATTTTAATCTTCATAAAGGCAGTGTCTCTCGAATTATTCAATGGCTAATACTTAGGGCGCTAGTGATGTCCATAAGGGGCGCCAGTGCTGTCCATTAGGGGCGCCAGATGTTGATGTAGATAGGTTATTTATTTCTTATGTATCAAACATTGCCCCCAATGTGTTATATTAGATTTTGCCAAAAGGCTTTGTGAATGCCAATAATTCATTTTAACGGAACAATAGAACTTTTTAATAATTGGAAGCACACCATAACAGCTGGTAACTAGGTTTTTGAAACATGGAGGAAGTGACTTTAGGATGGGGACATTTGAAGTGACTTTAGGATGGGGACATTTGATGTTTGTTTGAACTTACCTGGACCCGGGTCAACAGACGGTACTCTTTTTTATCACCGAAGGCCGTAACCAGAGCTCCAGCCGACAGGACAGGGATCCCCCAGTAGTATGAGAACCTCGCCACTGGAGCCACGCTATACTCACACGCAGGGCCGAAGAAGACATGGGCCGATTGATGTATGTACATGTCAATGGCGGCCAGAGGCCCAAAAATTTCCGAACACTTCGAGTTGGCTGTATTGAAAACCACGGAGTACCCTCTCAGACAAGTGTACTGTTTGAGAACCTTTTCCCAGGCCATGAGAATGGCGGGGTGCACCTTGGGCATCAACCAATAATCCTTGCCCTCGAACGGTAAGATGATGCCGGCTTTGATGATCTTAGGCTGACCAGTGTCCACGGTCTTGCAGGCTTTGGTGACCACCTGTGTCCAGTAGCTGTTGATATTGACCAGTAAGGCCAGGACGATGAGTTGGTCAACAGCTAGCCCTGCCATGACTGACGCACGCAGTCATTAAGTTAAGAATGCCAAAGAGATTTTATGCACATTTTTCTTAGTTTAATCCCTGACAACTGAGTCCCCTTAAATCAACATGTATGTTTGATATCGTCTGCAACAACAAGTTTAAAAGACAACGGGCACTATCTTACTGGTAATGTAGCATGACCTTGAGTGTTAAGACAGCTTAACTACACGTGAGAATGTTTCGGGATATGCTCGTATTAATAACAAATGTCGCATGTCACTTACTTTCCCAACTCAGATTTCTCTTGTTACATTCCCAGCTCATATTTCACTTGTTACTCACATTTCCAACTCAGATTTCACTTGTTACTCACATTCCCAAGTCAGATTTCACTTGTCACTCACATTCCCAACTCAGATTTTACTTGTTACTCACATTCCCAACTCAGATTTCACTTGCTACTCACATTCCCAAATCAGATTTCACTTGCTCTCACATTCCCAACTCAGATTTTACTTGTTACTCACATTCCCAACTCAGATTTCACTTGTTACTCACATTGCCAACTCAGATTTCACTTGTTACTCACATTCCCAACTCAGATTTCACTTAATCCACTCGTAACGTTCATTCTAAGAACAAAGATTTCAGGATGAGTTAGACACTCAAGACAGATTCCCAAGCCAAAGATTTCAGAATAGAGTTAGACACTCAAGACAGATTTCCAAGCCAAAGTTCGCAGTGTATACTTGCATCCTATATACATATTTCAGGGTAATCTCAAATCCTAAACTCAGAATTCAGTGTTTTCTAGCATTCTTATCTCAGAATTCAGGGTATACTAACACCCTAATCTAAGAATTTAGTGTATAATAACATCCTAAACTTAGATTTCAGTGTATACTAACATCCTAAACTCAGAATTAAGTGTTTACTAACATAATAGACTTAGAATTCAGTATGTACTAACATCCTAAACTTAAAATTCAGTGTGTACCAACATCCTTAACTTAGAATTCAGTGTTTTACCATCCTCAAATCACACAAGGAACACAGCAACAGAATTCAGTAAATTTACCGAACAAATATATCCAGCTAGGGACATAATTAATTGTTTCATAAAAATACAAAGTATAGCCAACGTGTAGCAAAAGTATGGTCAGAGTGTCACCATAGTGTAACCAAAGGGTAGCCTATGTGTAACAAAAGTATTACCAAAGATTAGACAAAGTGTAACTAAAGTGTAGCCAAAATGTAATTAAAGTGTACCTAAAGTGTAGCCAAAGGGTAACTTAAGTGAAACAAAAGTGTAACCAAAGTCTAACTAAATTGTAACCAAAGTGTAGATAAGGTGTAACCAATGTGCTGTCAAAATGTAGCCAAAGAGTAGACAAAGTGTAACCAAAGTGTTACACATTTTCTTCAATTGTTAATTTTTTAAATACTACAATAAATAGGGCAACAGAGAATGTCGGGAGATGACTGATTTATAAAGACATCGAGATAGCTTGTTTGAAATAAATGATTTGAAAAAGGTAGGCTTTTTTTTTTAAAGACCCCCCAAAGAATGCTTACTACAAACTGTTTGGAACAATATTGTATGAAAAAGTATGCTTACAAAAAGTGTTTGGAAGAAAAGTTGCATAATTTGTATTAAGTTAGCATGAATCTTGCGTTAATTGAGTGCATGTGTTGTCTAATAATTTTAACAGATTGGAGTTTCACACATCGCCACCGCCATCGTTCGACAGGTTTTTCCTAGCTATAATAGCACGATTACAAATAATATAATAAAAATAACCATTCAAACATATTCATACAAAAACAAAAACAGTTATTGACCAAAGTACACTTTTTTTTTTTTTGTTAAATTCTACTATTTTCAAACGCATTGAAAGAAAAAAAAAAAAGAATGCAATTTAAAGGGCCTTAACTGCAACAATTAGACGGATATCGCAAGGAGTGAGTTATCTGTCTTGTTTGATATTTCTGTAGTGTGATGTGACTTCATTGAAAAGAGATATAACCTACTGGTAGCCTTTTATACTATAGCTATTTAACTTCATTTATTCACGGTAACCATTTATACTATAGCTGTTTAACTTCATTTATTCACGGTAGCCATTTATACTATAGCTGTTTAACTTCATTTATTCACGGTAACCATTTATACTATAGCTGTATAACTTCATTTATTCATTTTAGCTATTTATACTATAGCTGTATAACTTCATTTAGTCACGGTAGCCGTTGATACCATAAATATATAAATTTATTTATTCACTAACAAACTAAAAAAACAACAACATTGTCCATGTTGAGACAACAGTTGGTCAATAAAGACCATGATACCCATGTTTAGTTAGTAGCCAATAAACAAAGGGTTCCCATCCTATAGGTAACAACCCCAAATAAGTGAACCAATGAGGCCAAGGTTTCCCATCGAATGGGTCACGTTGTGCTAAAGTCTATTACTGTTGCCTTTTCTTCTTCTTCTTCTATATCTTAAGGGCCCACGATCAATTTATTGATCATTTTGGCTCCTATGCATGTAGATGGGATTTGCAATGTTTCTGTTACTGGTGGTGATGAGGAAATTATGCACTAGGGGTTTGAAG